TCTTTCATTCTTTTTTTCATTCTTCTTCTTCTTTTTTCACTTTTTCATTTTCATTTTCTCATTTTTCTTTTCTTCTTCAGGAAAAAGAAGAATGAAAGAAGAATGAAAAGAAGAATGAAAAGAAGAATGAGAAGAAGAGAAGAAGAATGAAAAGAAGAATGAAAAGAAGAATGAGAAAATTTTTGAAAAGAAGAATGAGAAGAAGAATGAGAAGAATGAAAAGAAGAATGAGATGAAGAAAGAAAAGAATGAAAGAAGAAGAAGAAGAATGAAAAGAAGAATGAAAAGAAGAAGAATGAAAAGAAGAATGAGAAGAAGAATGAAAAGAAGAATGAAATGAAAATGAAGAAGAATGAGAAGAATGAAAAGAAGAATGAAAAGAAGAAGAAGAATGAAAAGAAGAATGAGAAGAAGAATGAAAAGAAGAATGAGAAGAATGAAAAGAAGAATGAGAAGAAATGAAAAGAAGAATGAAAAGAAGAAGAAGAAGAATCAAAAAGAAGAAGAAGAATGAAAAGAAGAATGAAAAGAAGAAGAATCTTTTAATTCTTTCATTTCTTCTTTTCATTTTTCTCCTCTTCTTTTCATCTCTTTTCATTCTTCTTCTTCTTTCTTTTCATTCTTCTTCTTCTTCTGAGGATGAGGATGAAAAAAGAAGAAGAAGAAGAAGAATAGGATGAAAATAAGAAGAATTCCAAGCCGGCAAAAAGTGTATCTGCAGAGCTCCTCTTATTTCTGACAGTTCTCACTGACATTCACATTTACAGTGGTTGAAACATTGTATCTATTTGTTTCCATAAATGGAAACAATAGATACAATGTTTCAACCGCTGTAAATGTGAATGTCAGAAAACTGTCAGAAATAGCGGAGCTCTGCAGATTACACTTAGCCGGAGCTCTGCAGATACACTTTTTGTGGCTTGGAATTCTTATTTTCATCCTACTCTTCTTTTTTTCTTCTTCTTCATCCTCCATCCACCAGAAAAGAAAGAAGAAAGGGAGGATGAGGATGAGGATGAAGGAAAGAAAGAAGAAGTAGGATGAAAATAAGAAGAATGCCAAGCCTTCAAAAAGTTTTATCTGTTTAACATCCTTTCCGCTATGTGTATCTGTTAAGATTCCCTAGTTCCCTGACAGTTTCTCGGACACATTCTCGTTCACATCACTCCATACAGCTGGGTTGAAACATTATCTATTTGTTTCCCATTTATGGAAACTTAGATACAATGTGTTTGCACCGCTGCCAACGTTGCTCCTATGTCAGAGAACTGTCACAGAAATAGAACAGAAATTTCTGAACATTTGTTCTCCTGAGTCTTTCACTCCAGTTACTGTATTCCTTCTTTCATTGGGTATCTATTTGGTGTCTCCCAGAGGCTGCAGACCGAAAATATGCTAATCTGGTCAACCCTTTATGGAGTGAATGTCAGAGAAACAACCCAAGTCCGAGCCTATTTTCTGACATGGTCCAGTGACACAACTCCATTGACAGCGGTTGAAACATTGTACCATCTCATTTGTTCGTCCATTTATCATGTGAATGTCAAAACTGTCAGAAGTAGATAGCTGATTTCTTCTCCTCTTGACTTACCATCAGTTACAAAATGTCACTCTATTTTTTTTCAGCACTTTATGGTTCTATTCCTTCTCCTGGAACCAGAGGTCCGGCTTTTCATTTTTTAAAACCTTCTTCTTCTCGGTCTGAACCCCCTTCTAGTGGCAATCACTTCTTCTGCGGAGGCTCATCAGACTTTTCGGCCATCTTAATTCTCGGAATCTTCTCTTTTTTTCCTACTTTCTCTCCTTCTCCCTCTCAGGAGGACAATATTACCCATCTTCTTCTCGGCGCATACTAGCTCCATTCATGAAGGGTTGTCTTCTCATCTCCTTCTGAAGAGGATCTCAAATCCTTCTCCCTTATTTTTCATCCCTTCTATTTTCAGACCAACTTCAAAATCTTCCTATCTCTTCCCTTCTTTCATCCTTCTCCTTCCTTCAACATCCTTCCCTTCTTCTCATCCTTCTCCTTCTCTTCCTTCTTTCCCTTCTTCTTCTCCTCTTTTCTTCTCAATCGCCTTTTCTTTTTCTCATTTTTCTCTTCTCATCCGTTCTTCTTCTTTTTCATCCTTCTCATTCTTCTCATCTTTTCCCTTTTTCACCCCTTCTTCTTAATCCTCTCGTCTCCTTCTTCTCATCCTCTCATCTCCTTCTCCTTCTTCTCATCTTTCTTCCATCTTCCTCCCTTTCCTTCTCATCTTCCTTATTTCCTCCCCTTCTCATCCTTTCTATTCTTCTTCTCATCCTTCTTCTCTTTCATCCTTGTCCTTCTTCTTTCATCCTTTTCTTCTTCTCTCATCCTTTCAATTCTTGAATCCATCCCTTCCCATCCTTTCTCCTCTTTCTCATCCTTTTCATCTTTCATCCTTCTCCTTCTTCTCATCCTTCTTCTTCTTCTTCATCTCTCCTTCTTCATTCTTACAAATCTCAGGGAGGGGTTCCCACTTCTTCTTCTATCCTTTCCTTCTTCTTTCTTCACATCCTTTTTCTTCCATCTTTCCTTCTTTATTTCTCATCACTTCTCCTTAAATTCTCATCTTTCTTTCAAATTCATCCTTCCTTCTTCTTTATCCTTCTTCTATCCTTCTCCCTTTTCCTCCTCATAATTCCTTCTTAATTCTCTTCATTCTCTTCCAATCTTCCCCTTTACTACTCCTTCTCTTCTATTTCTCTCCATCCTTCTCCTTCTTCATCCTTCAACTTCTCCTTCTTTTCATCCTTCTCCTTCCTTCTCTTCCTCATGTTCCCTTCTTCTATCCTTCTCCTTAAGCTTTCTCATCCTTCTCCTTCTTTCATTCTTATCCCTTCTCCTCACGCCTCCTTCTTCTCATCCTCATCTCCTTCCTCATTCCTCATCCTTCGGTCTTCTTTTCTCATCATCCTCTCCTTCTTTCAATCCTTCTTCTTCTTTCATCCTTCTTCCATTCCTTCTCCTTCTTCGCATCCTTCTTCCTCATCCTTCTCTCCGTCTTCTCTCTCTTCTTCCTCTCCTTCTCTTCTTCACATCTTTCTCCTTCTTCGCATCCTTCTCCTATCTCCTTCTTCAATCCTTTCTTCTTCTCATCCTTCTCCTTCTCCTTCTCTCATCCTTCTCCTTCTTCTACCTTTCCTCCTTCTCCTTCTCTCATCCGTCTCCTTCTTCTCATCCTTCCCTCCTACTCTTCTTCTCAATCTCCTTTCCTTCTCCTTCATTCTCATTCCTTCCACTTCTCCTTCTTCTCCTACCTTCTTCCCTTTCCTTCTTCTCATCCTTTTCCTTCTCTTCTTCATCCTTCTCCTTTCCTTCTTCTCAATCCTTTCCTTCTTCTCAACCCATCCTTCTTCCTTCCTTCTCCGTCTTCATCTTCCCCTTCATACCTTCTTCTCACAGCTTCTTCTTCCTCATCCTTTTCTTTTTCTTCATCATCCCTTCTCCTTCTCATCCTTCTTCTTTTCTCATCCTTCCCTTCTTCTTCATCCTTCTCCTTCTTCTCATCCTCTTCTTCAGTCCTCTCCTTTAGTCTCTCCCTTCTTCTCATCCTTTCCTCTTCTCATCTTTTTTCCAGTTTTCTCATCCTTCACCCTTCTTCCATCCTTCTTCCTCCTTCTCATCCTTCTTCAGTTTCTTCTTCCTCATTCCTTCTTCTTCTTCTCATCCTTGTCCTTCTTCTCGTCCTTCTACTCTTCCTCATCCTTTTCTTCTTCTCATCCTTCTCCTTCTCATCCTTCCCTTCTTCTCATCCTTCTTTCTTCTTCCATCCTTCTCCTTCTTCTCATCCTTCTTCTTCTTCTCTTCCTTCTTCTTCTTCTCATCCTTAATTCTTCTTCATTCCTTTTCCTTCTTTCATCACCTTCTTCTTCTTCTCATCCCTTCTTCTTCTCATCCTTCTCCTTCTTCTTCCATCCCTTTTCTCATCCTTCTCCTTCTTCTCATCCTTCTTCTCATCCTTCTCCTTTCCTCATCCTTCTCCTTCTTCTCATCCTTCTCCTTCTTTCTCATCCTTCTCCTTTCTCCTTCTTCCTCATCCTTCTCCTTTTCTCATCCTTCTCCTTCTCCTTCTTCTCATCCTTCTCCTTCTTCTCATCTTCTTTTCTTCCTTCTTCTCATCCTTCTCCTTCTTCTCATCCTTCTCCTTCAGTTTCTCATCCTTCTCCTTCTTCTCATCCTTCTCCTTCTCCTTCTTCTCTTTCCTTCTCCTTCTCCTTCTCCTTCTTCTTCTCATCCTTCTTCTTTTTCTCATCCTTCTCCTTCTTTCTCATCCTTCTTCTTCTTCTCATCCTTCTTCTCATCCTTCTCCTTCTTCTCATCCTTCTTCCCTCATCCTTCTCCTTCTTCTCATCCTTCTTCTCATCCTTCTCCTTCTTCTCATCTTTCTCCTTCTTCCTCATGCCTTCTCCTTCTCCTTTCTTCTTCTCATCCTTCTCCTTTCTTTCTCAACCTTCTCCTTCTCCTCTTCTCATCCTTCTCCTTCTTCTCATCCCCTTCTCCTCCTTCTCCTTCTTCTCATCCTTCTCCTTCTTCTCATCCTTCTTCTTCTTCTCATCCTTCTCCTTCTTCTCATCCTTCTCCTTCTCCTTCTCCTTCTTCTCATCCTCTCCCTTCTTCTCATCCTTTCTCCTTCTTCGAATCCTTCTCCTTCTCCTTCTTCTCATCCTTCCTCCTTCTCCTTCTTCTCATCCTTCCTCCTTCTCCTTCTCCTTCCTCATCTCCAAGGGCATTTAAATTAAAGGTACAGTGTTCTGCACTAATATAAAGGCTCTCTGAAGCCTAGAAAGCCTTTTTATATTAAGTTGAATTCGTAGCGAATATAAATTCGCATCGAATCGAATTTCTTCCTCAAATTCGGCGGAATCAGCCCGAATCGAATTTTTGGAATAATTCGCTCATCTCTAGTTTACAATTTGTCAGCAGAACAAGAAGTAGAAGATAACTCTTCCACTGGGGACACCTGTTCCTGTAAAAATATGATAGGCTGGCTATATATCTCAGTGGCCAAAGGGCTATTAAACAGGGTGGACTGACCATTTGGAAACTCGTTGCACACTGCCCGAGGGCCCGGGGTCAGCTAGGGGGGTCCCTATGAGATGCCCCTGGACTACTGAAACCTTTTCATAGGCTTTTTTGAGTTTGGACAAGGACAAACAGTGGCCCCTTGATCCCCCTATTGCCTGGGGGCCCCTTGAGTTGTCAGTCCGCCCCTGATCATAACACAATTTATTTATTTATTACAGGTTACTTATATAGCTCCATCAATTTACATAGCACTTTACATATATATATACAGTTGCATGGGAAAAAGTATGTGAACCCCTTGGGAATTATGTGGAGTTTTGCATGAATTGGACATAAAATGTGCTCTGAAACGTCATCTAAGTCACAACAATAGAAGAACACAGTCTGCTGAACATAATACTACACAAACATTAGATGTTGCCATGGTTTAATTGCACATAACATGTAAACATTCACAGTGCAGGGAGGAAAAAGTATGTGAACCTTTGGACTTAATAACTGGTTGACCCTCCTTTGGCAGCAATAACCTCAACCAAAACGTTTCCTGTAGTTGCAGATCAGACCTGCACAACGATCTGGAGTAATTTTGGACCACTCCTCTTCACAAAACTGTTTCAGTCTGTAAGCAATATTCTTGGGATGTCTGGTGTGAATCGCTCTCTTAAGGTCATGCCACAGCATTTTCAATCGGGTTGAGGTCAGGACTCTGACTGGGCCACTCCAGAAGGCGTAATTCTGTGCTGTTGCAGCCATTGTTTTGTTGAATTACTTGTATGCTTTGGGTCATTGTCCTGTTGCATCACCCATCCTCTGCGGAGCTTCAGTTGGCGGACAGATGGTCATACGTTTTCCTGCAAAATGTCTTGAGAAACTCTGGAATTCATTTTACCATCAATGACAACAATTCGTCCAGGCCCTGAGGCAGCAAAGCAGCCCCTAAACCATGATGCTCCCTCCACCATGTTTTACAGTGGGGATGAGGTTTTGATGTTGGTGTGCTGTGCCTTTTTTTCTCCACACATAGTGTTGTGTGTTCTTCCCGAAACAACTCAATCTTGGTTTCATCTATCCACAGTATATTTTGCCAGTAGTGCTGTGGAACATCCAGGTGCTCTTTTGCAAACTTCAAACGTGCTGCAATTTTCTTTTTGGACAGCAAAAGCTTCCTCCGTGGTGTCCTTCCATGTACACTATTCTTGTTTAATGTTTTCCTTATTGTAGATGTGTCAACAAAAATGTTAGCATGTGCCAGAGATTTCTGTAGGTCTTTAGCTGACACTCTGGGATTCTTCTTTACCTCATGCAGCATTCTGCGCTGTGCTCTTGCAGTCATTTTTACAGGACGACCACGCCTAGGGAGAGTAGCAACAGTGCTAAACTTTCTCCATTTGTAGACAATCTGTCTTACCGTGGACACATGAACATCAAGGCTTTTGGAGATACTTTTATAACCCTTTCCAGCTTCATGCAAGTCAACAATTCTCGATCGTAGGTCTTCAAGGAGCTCTTTTATGCGAGGCATGGTTCACATCAGACAGTGCTTCTTGAAACCAGTAAACCCAAAACAGGTGTGTGTTTTTTAAGGGCAGGACAGCTGCCAGCAGCACATCCAATATCATCACACTGATTGGAGTCAAGGTTGGCTCACTCCTGGCTCCAATTAGCTCTGGGAGAAGTCATTAACATTCACAGTGCAGGAAAAAGTATGTGAGGCCCTAGCTTGATGACTTCTCCCAGAACTAATTGGAGCCAGGAGAGAGCCAACCTTGACTTTAATCAGTGTGATGATATTGGATGTGTTGCTGACAGCTGTCCTGCCCTTTAAAAAACACACACCTGTTTTGGGTTTACTGGTTTCAAGAAGCACTGTCTGATGTGAACCATGCCTCGCAGAAAAGAGCTCTCAGAAGACCTACGATTAAGAATTGTTGACTTGCATGAAGCTGGAAAGGGTTGCAAAAGTATCCACGTAATCCCAAGGGGTTCACATACTTTTTCTTGCAACTGTATATATATATATATATATATATATATATGTATATATATATATATATATAGTACATTCACATCAGTCCCTGACCCTCAAGGGGTGTACAATCTAATGTCCCTAAGTCATATTCATACATATACATCCTACAGCCAATTTAGACAGGAGCCAATTAACCTACCAGCATGTCTTTGGAGTGTGGGAGGAAAATGGAGTACCCGGAGGCAGAAGTGCTAACCGATTAGCCACTGTGCTGCCCAACACAATAGACCAGTCTGAATGGACCCTACTATCTTAACATAAAAATTCTATAGTTTCCAATGATAGAGTTATTAAGTTTGGGAAAGATAAACATTTAACAGTTTTACTTCAGGCTCCGCTGGTTGAATGAAAAAAAAAAAGATTTATCTATGGGTTGCCTAACTCCACACAGCAGGGTCTGTTATTGTAGTAAATCAGGGGATCTAATCTTTCCCCACTCTATCCAAAAGTAGAAAATATGTTTCTGGCTTGACATGCTTTCAAGTGTATGACCTATGTCACAGTTCATTATCTTGAACATTATAATTTATAACACAAGGATATTATATAAATTACAGAAAGTTAATGCAATGTTAAACTGATGCTAATACTTTTCAAATTCCAATAATGAACATGATGTGTATTTTCACTGTCCTTTGCTCCTTTACAGTGATCATAATGCACACTTTAATTAAATTCTCTTTTTCTGATCAACTAAACTTTCATATTTGCATTTAAAGAATTCACTAGTTCGTTTTTGCTGTGTTCTAGTGCAATGAAAATTTTTAAAATACAAAAGTGATTTTATAGACAAAGTAAATAAGGTTAAAAATTGACACATGACGATCAATTTGCTCTAATAGGGAAAAAGGGGAGCACCTTCAGAAGAGCTTTGCTCAGTCAATTACATCTTGGGCTTAAAAGGTCCACAACTACAAATTGCAAGACTAAGCTTAAAGATCTAAAGCTACAAATTGCCAGACTCAGCTTAAAGAACTAAGCTACAAATTGCCAAACTCGGCTTAAAGATGCAAAGCTACATATTGCCAGACTTGGCTTGAAAATAATACAAAGCTACAAATTGCCATATTCGGTTTGAAGGTCCACAACTACAAATTTCTAGATTCGGCTTAAAGGTTCACAACTGCAGATTGCCAGACTTAGTTTAAAGGTCTACAACTACAGATTGCCAGACTTAGCTTAAAGGATCACAACTACACATTGACAGACTCAGTTTAAAAGGTACACAATTACAGATTGCCAGACTTAGCCTAAAGGTCCACAACTATGGGTTTATAGGTTCACAACTACAGATTATTGGTGCCGACTTAAAGATTTAATCAGGGGCGTATTTACCACAAGGCAAACAACACATTTGCCTATGGTGGCATTTTTTTAGTGGGGCAGCACTGCCCCCTGGAAGAAAGGACATATGTGCCATGGGGACCAGATGGGATCCAAGAGTGGCTCTGGGCTGCTTGATCGTGTATGCAGAACCCGATTATCATTCCCAGGATGTCCAGAGCTGTGAAGGTGAGTCTTTTGCCGGGGAGGGGATCATCCGATTTCTGTGCTGCCTAGGGCAGCACAAAACCTAAATACACCACTGGGTTTAATACTAGCTTGAGAGAGGGACTGAAGATATGTTTGCTAGAAAGTACAAATAAGTGGAGAGAATTTCCCATCCTGCTTGCGTTACTCCTAAACACTGAGCCAATTAAATCTGCAAAGAGAAGATACAATGAGTGGACGTCTTTCTTAGGTCCCCACTGGTGTAAAGTAAGCTTTTGGTTTCAGCTATAGGGAAAATCACCAGTAGAAAGACTAGGAGAACCAGTTAAATCCAGCAGCTGCTTTGCAGGTCAGTGCTACAGCAACAAAAACCTTCACCAAATGTTACCTACAGGAGCTGAGCTACAGGTGCTGTTTTACTCCTTCTTGCAGTCCTCCTTATAAAATTGTTTCTTAACTCACACATCATGGTGCTGTAGCCCATTATGCGTCTTGGTATCATATTAGATTTTTAATCATTATCTTTTTTTTATTTACAGAATGAGGTTATTAGGCCCATGCCCAGTCCCATAATAACCATGTAAATGGAGGCGTAGAAAATAGTGGGTATCGCTTTAAATATCAAGTATTGCCCAATAACCAAGAAACCTTTACAGAAAAAACAATGTGAACAGACTGTTCAAAAGAGAAAAGTGGTTACATAAAGGACAGTGTGATACACATAACTGTTATCAGGTAATGCTTGAATTAGCAAAATTGCAATATGAAACAATTGAATAAAGACTGCATAATAGCCATCACCTCAACCAATGACAATACAAAACAACCTAAAAACGAAAAATAAAAAAGAGAGATGTCATGGCTAGGCCAAGTACAAAAAATATGCTGTGAAAGCAACGACTCAAAATTCTTCTACCTAAACAGCAAACACATCGGGGTGCACCACCGGGATAGGGATATATGTATAGATATGAGTGATGCAATATCGGTGCTGTAGGACCAATAGAAAATATAATGTTGGGGCAGGTGTAATCCACTACTGACATGGAAACTGAGGCCCAAGTTAGGTGAGAGGTCACTTGATGAATATGTTCCTGATATTGGATGTGAATGAGTAAAGTCAGCATGCACACACATGTAACAAAGTGGCAGCAGATAAGGCAATGGACTCTGCCCAAATAATATGTGACCCCATTGGCCAATCCCTGAAATCAATGTATACAACTTCAGTATGTATCATACAGTTGTAGTCTTGTGGGATCCACAAAGGATCAATGGATATAGCATAATGATGTCCTTATGAAGATATGAAGTGCCGTATCATCCAGATACAGGTGGAATATGCAGCTCACCGCCAACTTAATATAGAAATATATATTCACCTTTCCTGGAGTAGATAGTTCCTTTTGAGGAGTCCGTTAGGCAGCCACTGTGTCAGGACTCCTATAGGCAGGGCCCTGCCTTCAGATAAATGCAGTGTTTCCTCCAGGTGTGAGTGAAGTGTGCAACTCACCAACTACTCCGTCAGTTGGAGATGAAGTGACCTTTCCTTAGATGTGCAGTTCTGTGCTGCGAGTCCATATGGCAGCCGCCGTGTCAGGACCCCTAACGGCAAAGTCCTGCCTCCAGAAAAGTGCACTGTTTGTGGAGGGTCTGCACCGGAAACTTGCGTGGTGCATCTCCTTCTCCATACCCAGTCCCACCCCAGAGGACCAGACTATCCCTTGCTGTTTGTCTCATCACCAGAAACTGGCTTGGATGGCCCTAC